ACTTTTAATGGTAGCTGCCATTGTTGGGCTGGGCGTAGCTGCTATGAGCTCCTCATAGTCTAGACGAGGGGATGGGACGGGCAGTCCCAAATCGCTCCTCCTTGTTCTGTCCAGAGAGCACCTCGAGTAACTTCCCCAAGGGCTCGGGTGCTGAGGAGCTGAAGTTGGCATCTTCATGGCAAGATAACAATTTATCTGTGACTCTATCCCACTAAGAAATATCCTGGCTCCAGTGCTTGCTTAATTTAGCTTGCTGTGATACAGGATTTCAAAAATAAACTAATGATATTAATTTCCAATAAAACTTAGATTGGAGTAAACTCTCATTAGAGTGTTTCCTCTCTTTCCAGATAGCTTGTCCATCTATTTGTAAAATGGAACATTATCTGAAAAGGCGGACTATCCAATAAGAAAACCAGCCCCAGGGAAGGTATATAAATAAAGTAGATCAGGATGATTAGCACAGTGGAGTCCAAGTTCATGACCAAGTGAGCTCCTGAGTGCTACTAGATAAGAGTAATAACAGTTTAAGGAATTATATTATTTTGAAAAGAGCAGGTTTGGGTTTTCATTTCTCCCTCTTTGCTATTTACTGTCTAAAGAATTAAGACATGTTATTTCTTATGCTGTATTATAAAAATTCCTAGCAAAGAAATGTACGCTTTTTTTTGTATTTGTTTTCTTTTGTGACTTGTTCTTGAGTGTCTCTTTCTGAGAGAATTTGAAATTCTCATTGCAATGGCCATCTTAGGACCCTTGATTTCTGCTGCTAATTCTGCTGTTGTGAACAGTGCTGGAATGGTCTAAATTTCCTTTGTTTATAATTCCTCCTTTCTTCATTCAAAGTAGGCCCATAACTAACTCAAAATAGTGTTTTTTCTCATAGTCAATATACAGACATATAATGAATCTGCATTGAGTGCTGTTTGATTTATAGTTCTTCATAGTGTATTTTAGTTCTGACCTGACCACTTGCATGTTAACCCATTGTGTTTCACCCAGTACTCCTGGTTTAGGTTTGACAGGCTTCAAGGTCTGAACGTGCAACTCAGTTTGGTGCTTAAGAGGTTAAACCGTGTGCCACGCTTCAAGAACTTGAGGCTGCTCTGCATGCAGGGTGTTGAGTAGATGAGATAGGACAAGGCAGAAACTTGGTCCTGTGTTTCTGAAAGAAAACAGAAGAGCTCTCGCATTTCAACCTGGGGAATAAAAAAAAAAAAAAAAAAAAAAGTCACTTGATAATACTTGGTCCTTAGGATCCTTCTCATGTTGTTCAGGTGAACTATCTACATTGCTGTCAGTGAATTTTCATATTGCAAACCTTTCTTTTTAATGATCTTAGTGCAGTTCTCCAGGTAATTCTTGTCTGTATGAGAGAGAGGGATGGGGGCCAAGCCCAAGGGTTGTTCTTGGTGGCCCCAGCGTGAACTGGACATACTGGCTTCTGTTTTCTGAGTATCTGGAGCTTGTCGAACAGTAATAAACTTACTAAAGCTTTCTGATTCTAAAAATTCTGCTCTTAGATGGAAAAAGCTTTTAGTGCAGGTTCTAGAGAATAAAAATCTCAGACTCTTTCCAAACTTCTTGTTCTGAGAGCAAAGAGTTTGAGGTGTCGCATGATTAAGCTGCTGTCTGTACATTTCGAAGATATTCTAGTGAGTGTGTATACCTTGGTGCATCTGAGTTAGTACTGGAGATTAAACCAGAAGAAATAAAAAGACCTAGGGATCCATTGCAGTCCTTGCTTCAGGTATCTAACAGCAGGCTTCTTAAGAAAGCTGCCTAAAGCCTACTTCATTAGGTTTGCTGCAAATACCTGGTATAAATAGAGGTCAGTTACTTGGCTTCTTATGCAGGAATACTCATTTCCAATGAGCAGTGAGTAGTTTCTTCCATATTTTCATGTTCTCTGTGGGCTTGTTTTCCACTTACAGGAAAATACTGAAAGAAATAGGATACACTGGCTCCTGAAATTATTTTGATGTAAAGACAAACTGGCTCTCACCTGCTCCTATTTTCCATCAGGAAGCTGCAGGGAAACCTGTCTGGTGTTTAAATTCTCTTCATTTCCTTTCTTCCAGAAGTATTGAATCATTGTGGCATAGAGATCCAGTTGCTAAAGCATAACTGTGCAATAGCTGTTTGCAAGTGTGCAGAATTAAGATGGGAGGGTGAGGGGGGTGAACGAGCTATGTTTTGCTGTCTGTCTTGCAAAAGATGTGACATTAGGCTGTTTCTGTGCAATACATTAATCTTAGACATAGTTTTAAAGTTCATGAAGCGAGTAGTTCAGAGAATAATGCAAATATTAATGTAGTTGGACTCATTAAAACCCAGTAGTTATCATACTTAGGCCTGCTGTGCAGCTCACAGTGCACTAAATAGAGTGGCTCAGTACTTTAGAATGCCAGTTTAGCTCTAGTTTCCCCATATCAATCTGGCATCTAACTCTGAGTTCCTGTTTGAGATGGGGAAGGAGAGTGTTGCTTTCGTATGCCTCTTTCATCTCCCACTGAATCCTCTTATTGCTGTTCAGATCAAGTACTGCCGAGACCTGCTTAACTTGAATCACGGGCAACTTTTGCTGCATCAAGACCAGAATGCTCCCTACTTTGCAAGGCTGAGTCCTTGGGGAAGTTCGTGGGGTGTTTGTACTGGTTTCTCGTGGCAATGCGGAAGGCAACGATATGGGCACTCGGTTGAGCACTGCAACGAGGGCCATGAACACAAAGCTCCTGCTGCTGGGTGGACCTGGGGCTTCTGCTTCGGAGAAGCACTGAGGGTTCAGGCTGTATAGGCTGTGCTATGTGGATGTACTCAGTCTGGTGCAGCGACTTGCAGTATGCAGGAGGACTGAGAAATAAATCTTGGTTTACGGGCAGAAGCTTTCAAACTCTGTTGTTCTTTGCCACCTGAATGGAAGCAAAGTGAAGAGGTTTTTGTGCAGCTTGGTTTGACTGTTGTGCAGAGGAGGAAGATTATTGCTGCTGCTTTTTAGAGAACAAGTGCAGATTGTGAAGCCTTTTCTGTTGTGCTACGTTATTCTTGAATTCAAGACCAAGGGCCTCTAAAAGACCTTTTTTTTTCGTATCCGTTGGGGAGTTAATCATGGCTATCTGAACAGATGAAATACTATGCCATTCTTTTGCTGCTGGGATTGTGATCTCTGTCTTGTATACAAAGTATTCATGCAACCGAAATGGTTCCTGACAAGCAATTAATTTTTAATATATAAAAAATGAGACTGTCCATTTTTCTTTTTGTAGCTATCATTTGAATTTGTGCATTTCTGTACCTGCAGTTCTTAAGCAGGCAAAGATCCTTTTGATATTGAAGTGATTTATTTATTTAATTTAAAGTAAGGAGAGGAGAAAAAAAATCTCTTTAAAGACTGAGTGCTGCTTTCATTTTATTTTAAGGATTTGGGTGTGTTCTCAATTTGGTGTCTTCTTGCTACTGCAATGTCTTTCACTTATTTTTTTTTCCTCTGTATTTCTTTGTATGTCACTCAAAGATAAATATTTTTCGAGTGTCATTAATGTAAGTTTTGAAAGTAAGCCAGCATTACCACTTAACCTCTAGAAAAAATGTTTATTTAAGGTAGTATTTTCTATTTACAGACTTTGAAGGTATTTAATCTTTAGACATCCTTCTGAGCATCTATAATCAGACTTGTTAACAATCTGTTAACAATGTATTTACATCTTGCTTAAAAGAAAGGGGGGAAAGTATTTTGTTTAGGGTGTCCATCTGCTTATTGCATTTCAGCACTGCACAGGAAAAGCCATTTCCTGTCTCAGAATACTTTGTTTCCTTTGTCTCTACAATGAGGAGAAAAAGAGTGCTTTACTAGCAGTGAAAACCTCACATTCTTCTAATTAAAGAACTGTAATAAGTGAACCTTATGCTGATTGAACAGGCATTGTTGATGCCATTGAACCATTGCTGATGAACAGGCATTTAAATTTTAATATCTTTTTATTGCAGAGAAGGTAATTCATATTAAGCTATGAAAGGCATGACCTCTATGTTATTATTACGTCCTTGTCTTTCACTCTACTCTGATTTTATTTTTTAAAATTAATTGGATTCTGAGAGTTGGCTTAATAAAGCTTATTTTTTTGGAAAGACAGCAAGCTTTTCGAAGGTGATTGTGTGCTGCTCTTTAAGAACGTGGTTTTCTGGGTGATTTAGCAGATAACTCAACAGAATCAGGAAATCTTCCAGACTGTTCATGTTTGTTATTCAGTATCTGAGAGTATTTTGGGGATTTTGTTATTGTTGTTGCTAGCAATTAGAGGCAACTACTTAGCTGTGGATCAGAAGGTATGAGCCAGATGGATTATGCTTTCATTTTGCAGATATGACTTGCTGTGAATTTCACTGCACTTAGAGCTGACTAGAAGTACATTTTAGTCATTGGTCATTTAGAAAGCAGCTCAGAGGGACATTAGCCTTCCTTTTATGACTTCTGGTTTAAGCATACTGAGTAGTAGCTTACAGGACTCCTCTTTTTTGAGGAGGAGTTTTATGCATGGGATTGTGTAGTCGCAAGCACGTGCGTCCTATGAAGATGAAACGTAGGTTTAATTTGTATGCATGGTGTAAGTTGCTCTAAAATATGATTTTACAATTACCAATAAATGCATGAATAATCACAACACTTCTGAAACATTTTGGGAATGACATATAGGTTGATCTTTCTATTAGTTAAATATTTGCTGAGACTTGCCTTTTTACTGAGTGTCCGATATTTCAAGCAGTAGGCATATTCTAAAGAAATATGCCTCTAAACAGGTATGCTCCAAACTGCAAAATACAAAATTCGTCACAGTAATAGTTAATGGGCTTACTGTAGCCTGCTGGAGTTAGTGTTTTAGTAACTGCATTGTGAGGTGGTAGGGGGAATGGCGCAAGATTTGCGTGCTGTGATATTATGCTCTGACTAAAAATAACTGTATTCATACTTATGAAAATTCTTTTTTCTTTCATGTAGCCGTGACATGGAGAATAAAGAAACCCTCAGGGGGTTGCAGAAAATGGATGACCGCCCAGAAGAGCGCATGATCAGGGAGAAACTCAAGGCAACGTGTATGCCAGCCTGGAAGCACGAATGGCTGGAAAGAAGAAGCAGAAGAGGGCCTGTGGTAAGTGGCGTTCAAGGAAGGGCAGTGTCTGTAATTACTACAAATAGAAGGCACTGAAAGTTGCAGGCATTCTTTTAGGAACTTTATCTAAGAAGCTCATGGACTTGTAGTTTTGATCCTTTTGTTCATTTTAATGAGCTGTTTAACAGGAAATTGTGGGCAACTTTCTGAAATGTACACGTGTATTAAATTTTACTGAGGCAGGGGGAAGCCAAAAGCTGAGCTTAATATGAAACATGGCTGTATCAACACTGCCCTCTAATGTCAGCAACTGCAGGAACTATTATGATTTTTACCTAATGAAGAACTAGCAATGAGTATGAAACTGCACTGGGCTGGTTGTACTCCTGTGTTTTTAAGGGTTTCATGATTTCATATATTGCAAGTGCAAAGCCCAGCAGCTTAAAGCGTATCAGACAAAATAGTTTAGCTTTTTATAACGGGTTTTTTTTTTTTTTTTTTTTTTTTTTACTGCATAACTTGAAACTGTCATTTCCTTGCTCAACCATTTTTCCTTGACGTTTCTGGGATTTTATTATAATTTTCTGTGCTCCAGATTCTCAATTACTACCACTTTAACCTAAATGCCTTTTCAAACACCAGCAATTGGTAACAGTAACCTGTTCTTAGATATGTACATTTGCCTTCTGACCTTTTGGGGAAGAAAGCAAGCATTACATTGATTGGTGCATTCATACAGCATTCAATATGGTGACTTCCCAATGTAAAATAAACAGTGTTTGGTTTAAGGATATGGATCTAAGTTTTTTCCTTTCTCAGGCAATGCTCTCAAAGCAGCAAACGCCTAATTCTTCACCTGCTTCAACTGGAATGCCTTTCTTAGTAAAGGAATAGCTTTTGTAAGATGGTTTAAATGCTTTTGTTCCAAAATAGTATTCAGTCTTGTGGCCAAAGTGCAAATCATGAGGTAGAAAAGGACGTCATCCTGGATGTCTCCCCCTTCTCAAACTCAGAGCTGTCGTATAGACAGTTTGCTTATTGGCATTAGCAGAGAGGGTCCCTTTCATTTATTGCCTAATTTAGAGGGATCTCTACAACTGCCTAGGAGAGGGTCTACAGCTGCATTGCTGGAAGCTTTCTTCTAGCTGTGAGTCAAGCCTCTAAATTATGAAGAAATTCCTATAGAGTTAACCCCTGCCGTGTATTAACAGTAAAATCTAAGAAATTTGCAGACTGCGTATGTGTAAGTAGTGAATCAATTATATAATGCGACTAACCCTAGTTCTGAGTAATTTGTTTTGTTTTCACATACAATGATTATTTTTGAAACTAACATACATGGTTGAATTCCTGCAAGGTGGTGAAACCTATCCCTGTGAAAGCAGATGCATCTGAAATGAGCAAACTGTCTCTAGAATCTCAGGCTGAAGGACAGAGCACGGCTTCTTCACCCACGCAGAAAGGGAGACGTAGCCCTTCTCCCAGCAGCTCCTCTTCATCATCCTCGAGGACTGTTAAATCTGAATCCCCAGGAGTCAGAAGAAAAAGGGTATCTCCAGTGCCTGTAAGTCACAAATTATGGTGTAATTATTAATTTTCCTACTACATATTCAGTTTTGCAGATACCTGTGTTCTGTTAGCTTGACTGCATAAAAAGATGCCAGGAGGTTTTTCTTTAAGTTTGGAATGTCAGTTCTCCTGGCAGATATGTTTCCTAAGTGGATAGGCCTGTTGTGCTGAACTAAAATTCCTGCAGAAAGGAGTTACCCGTATGCCCTTTGTGATTCTCTGTGACAGGGCTGCGCTTTATGTATGTGTTAGGGAAGTTTTAGGTATATGCATCCTTATGGTCTAAAATCATATGTCATTGTGTTCAAAAAGATCAAGACTGGAATATTTTTAACTGTAGTAAATGACTTCACCAGAGAAGATCAAGAATGGAAGAGTTGAGCAGATTACATGTAGATTATTTTTATAAAAACATTCAACCACAGTTAGTCTTCAGGTGACTCATTTACCACAATTTCACTGTGAAGCTATAAGAATAGGATCTCATTGCTTTTATTGTCTGATTGCTCCCACTGGACTCGGTTTCCAAAATGAAGTAGAACATTTTACCGCTGTTCTGCTGAGCTGGGGGCAAAATACAAGTTACAGCTCGTAGTACAGCTTCATATGTCTTGATAAGAGAAATTCAGATCAAAAAAACAAAACATTACCAAACCATTTAACCTGGACTTTGCTCAGTTGTTGTTCTGCTTCTTTTTGTTTTATATTAACTGTTCATGTGAAAAAGTGAAGTCTGTCGTGTAATTAAGTGATCGACAGTGAGTCAGCTGCAACTTTGTGTCATGATCTAAAAATCAAAGTGAATGTCAGTCAAAGCAGAAAACCTGAAATCAGACAGAATCATTAACTCATGTTAGAACTCATGTAAGGTATTGAAAAAAACTTTAATAAAAGACTTGGCTCATTTGGTGATGGCAATTTATTTACCGAAATCAAAAACAGCATCAGGAGCTGATCATTGTTTTCATTGTGAAAAGGAGAGGAAGAGGTATCCTTTTTCCTTCTCTTTGGGATTTCTTACTCTGCAATTCATTGACCATATGTTCCGTGTTACAAACTGTAGTCATAAAAGTAATAGTGCTAATATATTTCACAGATAAAGAAATCCTGTCTTACATAATGATTAGCATCACAGGAAGTTATTATAATGAACTTCTGATTGAATTGTACCTGTTAATTCAGTAAAACAGTAAGGCTGCCAGTGAAGACTTGCAAATAGAAGCAATTTAAGAGACTTCTGTTGTAATGTCAACCAGCATATAAGAGAAGTCAGTTGCTCTGTTTGCTGCTTTTGCACATGGAAGAAGGTTAATTCTTCTAAATTCTTACAGTCTAAGCGGGTTGGAGTTAGATTTTCAGGTTTTGGGAACCCCCTCTATATTTGTCAATAAGAGTGAAATAGTCAAATTCATTGTCCTGGAAACACTTTTGTAGTTTCAGAGTGGCCGAATAACACCACCTCGAAGAGCTCCCTCTCCAGATGGCTTCTCTCCGTATAGCCCTGAGGAGACGAATCGCCGTGTCAACAAAGTTATGAGAGCCAGGCTGTACCTGCTGCAGCAGATAGGACCTAACTCCTTCTTAATCGGAGGAGACAGCCCTGATAACAAGTATAGGGTGTTTATTGGGCCTCAGGTGAGAACGTTTTTGTTGTAGGCAGATTTTAGTAATTCATAGCTAGTCTTGAAAAACTGTGCAAAACCAGAATAGATGAACTGAGAGCTGCAAACCCATGTTAACTGGAAACATTTAAAAGATGTGATGTATGCACATGCAGTGGGAAGTTGCTACTAATACCTTATTATTAGCTTATTTTGTATACTTCCCATTCCTATCAGTGGATCCTAATTATATATAATATATAATTATATATGTAAAGTATTTTGGCTGAAATTTGGCCCTTTGATTTTCCTCCTTTCTCACTCTAAAATGTGAAAATTTATTTCCTCTATTCATGTAGTATCTATTTATATGTGTAACAAACACATCACTTCCCTTAAAGGTGTGATAATGTCATTAATAACCCATAGTGTGGTCTAAGTAGACATTTCCTGTACTCTGTGATGCTGCCTTTGGGAACACCTGAGTTGTTGCATTAATAGAAGCAGCTCACTTAAATTTAATTGCCATCATGTTACAGATGTCCCATTACATGCATAAATTCTTTTCAGTACTAATAATAGAAATAGCTTCTAGTTGACTGTCATCTGTTTCTTGTATATATTTCACAATGATGTTTTGAGAATTAATACTTTCACCTAAGGTATTTGTACCCAATATGTAAAATGTTTCCGTTATGCTGCGAGTATTCCAGCTGGAGCCCTCTGACCCGATGCTGTGGAGAAAGACTCTGAAGAACTTTGAGGTAATATATGTCTGATTAGACCTCAGAACAGATCTAAAATAAAATCTGGGTAAAAATCCTCAGGATGTTGTTTTAAAATGGAACACTTTGTTGCTTATCATAGCAACACGTATGTATGCTTTTAATTATATTGTTAACTCGTTTTTAAGAGCTCTATAAATAGAAAAAAAATCTAAAAATGAAAGGAATAACTAAAAATTACAGAGTTTTAGTTTAGTGAATAATATGAATCTTGTGTTTTTTTTGTCTCAGATTAGAGTATCTGTAACATTGATAGTTGGAAGGTAAACAAAATAAGGGTGTGTGTGTAAAGCTATTAGTAATTTTTAATAAACAGCTTTGTTTAAAACAATGTTGCTTGCAGCCTATTTAGTAGTGAGGTTTTGGAAATTCCTGCTACTGCTGTTGCAGCTAATGTATTATTGTGAAGATGAAATTTTGTTTTTAAGTAGTAGTTTAAGCTTCTGTATCATTACCTTTGCATACGAGTTATTCATAGCATAAATGCGACTGTTGCTGTCTTTTTCTGATGTCAGGTTGAGAGTTTGTTCCAGAAATATCACAGTAGGCGTAGCTCAAGGATCAAAGCTCCATCTCGTAACACCATCCAGAAGTTTGTCTCACGCATGTCAAACTCCCATACATTGTCATCATCTAGTACTTCCACATCTAGTTCAGAAAACAGGTTAGTATTTTTCTAAAATTAAAATATTCTGCATTATTTTTTCTGATTTTGGAGGTTTAGAATCACTTAGACAATTCTTTTTGTTTTAAAGCTGCTTTCATTTCAACTCACGTTAAAGCTCTGTATTTACCAATAATTAAAAGTCAGGCATACATTAATCATGCTGATACCAAGTGGGCATATTCAATTCACACCTTATGTCTGAAGAGGGCGGAGGGGCGAGGGGGGGAGGCAAGAGTTGAGAAAAGAATTCTTTGGGTGTATTGTGGAATTGGGAAACTTCAGAAATCTAAGCGATCCTCTTCAAGCCTGGAACATTTATTAACTTTGGAAACCTATGTATTTGTATGCATATGTTCAAATACAGCATGCATGCATGCAAATGTTAACAAATGAAAAATAGGATTTTTTTTGCTCTTGTCCTAATCACATTTGAAAGCAAGCTTTACTATGGAGATATATTTATGAGCCTGAGACAATATGTTGAAAAATTTCCAAGTAAACACACACTGTGTGTGGTTTTAAAAAAATAAAAGTATTTGCCCTCCATCTAGAATGGATGATTGAACTGTTTTAAGGAACTTATTACATTATGATGATTTTTATGTTTAAAGATGCCTTACTTCTCAGTTTTAGCTGATGTTTATTTCTTTGGGCTTTTCCTAGCTCTTACTTGAGTGCTTTTGCTTGTGTTCTTGATTTTTGCAAAGATTTGCTTTAGTGTTTTGTCCGTTAATTTCTTACTTAGCCGTACAGAGGCCTTCTGAGAGAAGAGACCCAAAACAGAGGCTTTCTTTAGCGACAGTGAGAAGTACCTTGGTGTGTTACTTTGACAGTAGTCCTGTCACTGGATGAATATGTAGGCCAGTATGTTTAGACAGGTTTGTAATTCTGATGTTCAGATTGTGACCTTAACTTCCCTCTGCCTCATATTTATTTTTCCAAATGTCAATTCATGTCACTGTAAATAAATTATACAGACCAACCGGTGAAATACATGATGTATTCTGAAATACCGGTTCCTTCTATTTAGATACCTTGTCCAGGAAGATTTTTTTCCATAGGAATAACTTAATGACGTTATGGATTTCACAGTTTCAATTCTAATTTTTTGGCAGGAATAGAGATTTTTAGGTTGTTTGCTAGTACAGCTAGCATAATGCTGTACAGCTAGTACAGCATTATTGGTTCAATGAGATTGCTGTACTGTGTCAGTCTGTCTAATTCTGTGTGATATAAGTTATAGAGAGCATAAGTATTACTTTCACTTGGGATAAGCTTAGTCAATTCTGTAAATCACTATGACAGTTTTTTGGTTTGCTACTAATTCTTCAAAAAATAAAAATTGAAAAATCCAGTTCCACATAAAAGCACACTTTCTTTGTAAACTTATTGTGGATTTTTCAAGGGGAAAAAAAGCTGACCATTTAAAATGCAAGGAAATATGTTGTGTGTGTGCATTTATATATATATATCTGTGTGTGTATATATATTTACTTCTGCATGAATATGTTGTTATTTTTAAGATTACTATTTTATACATTTCTTAACCAATATAGGGCTCTTGCAAGCCATATATATAGCAAACTATTTTAGACACATAGAAATTCTAACTTTTATGAATAATACTAAGATTCAAATTTAAATAGAGTGTAAAAGACTAAGTTTATTTCTTTTCACTTAACCTTTAAGTTTTTGAATAGTTTTTCTAATGAAATCTCTGATTATATCCATTTTTAATTATTTAGTGGGGATGAATAAAATGGAAACAAGATTTAAGACTGAGTTGAAAGTTTTAATCCACATTTTTTCTACGTGCTTTTTGGGTATATGAATCTGTTTGTTTCTGTGTATGCTAGAAAAATGAGGGGGGCTGTTATTTTCTATTAAAATTTTTAATTTCAGACCCTCATCAAGTAAAATTTAGTGTAGTGTTCTGTGGTGAGTTTAAGACTTTGTGAACCAGTGCTCTGGAAGACATTTTCTCATTGATCTCCTTTAATATCTAAACTTCTTAACTTTTCAAAACCAACCTATTAGTAAAAAAGTAAAGGTTGGTTTGTTTAAAGAAGCCTTAAGGAGGAAAATGCAAGTGCCTAAGGCTAGGCCTTTCAATCCATAATTGGTATCTGACCTAGTTTGAAGACATGTTGTATGTTTTATGACTTTCCCTTTCATTTCAGTGGTGTAGTGTCTGTACTCGGTGCTTCTACAATTTTGGTTGCCTACTTACTCGGACATCTGGTGGTTGTTTCAAATTGGAGACTGATTTTTTTTTTTCCTTTTGAAGCTTGTTCAGAATTCTGATACACCATTTTTACGATTGCAAATATCTGTTTTTTATAGTATGAAGGATGAAGAAGAACAGATGTGCCCCATTTGTTTGTTAGGGATGCTGGATGAAGAGAGCCTAACTGTGTGTGAAGATGGCTGCAGGAATAAGTTACACCACCATTGCATGTCAATATGTATGTTGTCATCTTTGTCTAAATTCTGGTACCTGTATATACCTAAGCCACTAAGATTTAATACTTTAAAAAAAAAATGGAGAACATTGCTCTTAAACTTTGACATTGTTTAGGTGTTGATAGTTCTCGGTTTATCATTGCTCACGAATTAAATCTGTCATATGATGCTCTATGGGGAAAAAAAGTTAATTGCAAGGCTAGAGGTTTGATCCTGTGCAACCTGAGAGAGAAGATTAAGTTCAACTAGAGCGAGATTAGCAGTAGACACTTTCCCCTCTATCACTTCTCACTAAACAGCTTGAAAGCCTTCCACTATTAGCATGGGTTATCTAAGTAATATGGAATATGCTACCTTACATAAATAGTCACACAGTTTGCTTTAACAAATAGAAGTCCATCCTTCATATTCTAATTCTTTTTGGGGGGGGTGGGGGAGGAAAATATTTCTTTGAGGTATAAAAAGACCTGTATTGTTCCAGTTAATGATTTTTGGCATCATAGTGCAAAAACTGACAGGCTTCTGCACTTGAGGAAAAAAAAAAAAGCTGCAGATAGCTCTGTTCAGATGAGTATATTTCCTGAAATTGATGTTTTTTAATGAAATCCAAAAATAACAACCCCATCTTCTAGCTTGATATACTGTAAACATAAAATACCAATTTTCTTGTTGCTGTATTTCAGGGGCAGAAGAATGTAGAAGAAACAGAGAGCCACTTATATGTCCTCTTTGTAGATCTAAGTGGAGATCGCATGATTTCTATAGGTAAGCACTTAGTTTTAGTGAGTGTAGTGAATTGTTTGTTTCTGAATATTTAGCTTACATTCCTAAATACTCTAAAGTATTTACTTCAGCAGATGTTTCTCGTGTTAATTCATGTTTGTTGTTAACTTTATAGTCATGAATTGCCAAGTCCTGTGGATTCTTCTGTTCTTCGTATGGTGCAGCAACAAACTCAACAGCAATCTATGGCTGGATCACAAAGAAGAACCCAAGATAGTAATTTTAACCTTACTCATTATGGGGTCCAGCAGATTCCTTCTGCCTATAAAGACTTAGCTGAGCCATGGATTCAGGTAATTTTACCTTGTAAAAGGAATTTCAAGTATAAAAGCTGATTTTGAACTTTTTTTTGTCACTCCTGGTGAATTATAAGTTAATCCTTGCAGCTTCTACTTGAAAACTACATGTGTGTTCAGGAGAATCTGTGATCAGTGTGCCTAATGGCTTGCAATGAAACACACTGAAAGTCGTTATGCCTTCTTGTCACTGCTTTTGGTCGTTAGAGGAGCTTTCTTCTGGAAAAGTTTGGAATAAGAAGAGTTCTGTTTTGTTTAGCATCTCCAGTTTTGCTTCACTTAAACAGAAAAAATGCACGCCACCCAAGGAGCTCAAGTTGAGTTTCTTTTGGTATGCACAGAGAAAAGAATGAGTTTCTTAATGCTACTAATTCTGTCTGAAGAGGGTTATGTATTTGTTGTCCATTTCTACTTGGTGAAACAAAATGCTATAACTGGCTGGTCTTTTGTATTTGTTTAGAGATGAGAAACAAAATGGAAAATTGGATAGCTTGAGGTAGAGCCATGAGAGACTTCTAATGTATGAATGTTTAACTCTGGCACCAGTTCAGAGTACTTGTAACAATAGGAAGACTTACTCTGAATCACATCACAGCTCTACACCTAGTGAGTGCCTGTATAGTTCTCCTTCCCTGACTTCTGTTTAGCAGAGTTATTTGGAGGACTGATGCATGATCGTATAGGATGCTTCATTTTCATCCAAGATATGTTTAAAATACACTGTATCCACTGTCATGCTTTTGCTGTCAGATTTCATAAGACTTTTTTCCTCACCTGAAGCATTTCTTTGCTCTTTTTGGCTGCTCATTTCAAGTACTTAAGTTGCAATGTTTGGTTTGACTCTTGCACTGTTACATTTTCTCTTTGTAGGTGTTTGGAATGGAGTTAGTTGGCTGCTTGTTTTCTCGAAACTGGAACATACGGGAGATGGCACTGCGACGTCTTTCGCATGATGTTAGTGGTGCTCTATTACTGGCTAATGGTGAAAGCACTGGAAATTCTGGAAGCAGCAGTAGGAACAACACAAGTGCTGGAGCTCTAGGAGCAGCTAGTGGGTCATCTCAGACCAGTATCTCAGGAGATGTTGTCGTGGAGTCCTGCTGCAGTGTGCTGTCCATGGTCTGTGCCGACCCTGTCTACAAAGTGTATGTTGCTGCTTTAGTAAGTATTTGCTTATTCATTGTACTCTAGTAATTTCCAAATGACTTGGGCTTGGGAAAGAAAAGGAGACATATAAAGAAAAGAATCCTAACAATTATTTTTCATTGCCACTGAATGGCTCTTGACTTGTAACAGTCATCTGACAAAGATAAGATCCTCAGGAAAAGCACATTGGCATGACTGTGAACTTGAAAAGGTGAATAAGATCCTCAGGAAAAGCAGATTGGCATGACTGAACTTGCATGAACCCCTTTTGAAACTCTCTAAAAATGTTGGCATAGCTAATTTAATATCTATTGTTTTTCTCCTTTCTCTTAGAAAACCTTAAGAGCCATGCTGGTATATACTCCTTGTCATACATTGGCAGAGAGAACTAAACTACAGCGACTTCTCAAGCCAGTTGTAGAGACAATATTAGTTAAATGTGCCGATGCCAACAGGTATGGTGACTCATGAACTTCAAACCCATTTTAGTTTGTTGCTGAAGTGTCTTGAAACTTCTTTGGACACTATTTTATATGGAGCTAATGAACCAAATAGGGGTGATAAAATGTATGGGCCATGTCTATAAATAAATCATGATATGTTTTGACTAAAACAAAGCTGCTGCCAATCAGCATTTGTCTCAAGGTCTAATTCCTGTTATTTTGAAGGAATCTGTTTCTATTTCTTTCTAGTTCTTGCAGATCTTAAATCATGTCCTCCTTTTAAAGCCCCTTCCCCTTCCCCTTCCCCTTCCCCTTCCCCTT